GGGAGGGGTGTGGGGAGAGGGAGGGAGGAGGGGGGGAGGGGGGAGGGCTATGTATTAGGTGGTGTGACAGCAGAGCTCCGCCCCTCACTGACCAAGCCAGAGCCATTTCATTCCAAGGAGCCTGCTCCCAGGCCAGAGAGGCGCTTTAGATTCAGATTCTGCTTTAGCAGGTTTCCAACTTTTTTTTTTTTTTAAGATTTATTTATTTATGCATACGGAACTGGGGTACACACCAGAGAGGCGGGGGCGATGAGAGGATTCACCAGAGACACAGTGGGGGGCAGAACAGGCAGTTGAATGAAATACACTGCTGAGGGGAGCAGTGGGCGGGTCAGGAGAGGTCTGCCATGCCATGTGATGCCTCTCTGGCAGGGGATCGAACTTGTGACGTGGCTGTGTCTAGTGTTATAGTGCTCTGCTTTAACCCGTTGTGCCACCAGGGAGGGCCAGTTTTCTAATTTTTAATGAAAAGTTTGAAGTTCTTAAATTTGCAATTTTTTAAATTAAGGAAAAGTGTGTTTTTAACCTTTCAGGGCTGAATTTTCCCCTGTTGCTAAGATGGAGTTGAGGAGGCGTGTAGTGGTTAAAGGAAAAATAATAGGACAGAAGCATGTTGGGGTTCTACCTGGGCCGCAGCACCTGCAGTGGGCCGGACAAAGACGACACGGGGCAAGACGTCCAGCTGAGGGGTGCCCCTGCCAAACACTACTAATATTGGTTGGGCACATGATGAGGCCAACGGTTCTGCCAGGTCACAGAAGGTCACCACGGAGAGGAGATGACGTGCATTTACAGCAGGCATTTTAGCAGGGAGGGGAGGAAGAGGCGTAGCATAGGTGGAGGAAATAGGAGAGAAGTTTCTCAAAGAGGGTTCCAGAAGAAAGGATGTGGCTTTGTGTTCTTGGTGTGCTCCAGGACTTTCTGAAATGTTCATATCCACATCTTCTCTCCCCCACTCCAGGATTCATTAATGTCTAAAAAGTCAAGAACTACCACTTTTCTTTATCCACTTTCACTGGATCCCGTGGCTCGCCCAGTGTAGAATTCAAAGACCGGTCGTCTTTGCCTCCCCTATTGAGAGCTGATGCTGCCGTGGCATGGTCCCACCCACCACCTGTCTGTACTGAAGTGTGTGACCCACGATCCCCAAGGCCAGACACCTCCAGTTACCAGAAAAGCAAGGGTTTTCTCTTGCAAATAGGAAACACTGATGGGTTGCTACTTCACAAGGCTGGAATTATGCGTCTAAAGAAATGCCCAGGAAGGTGTCTGGCTGGATCAAGGAGGATGGCTGAAATGCCCACTGTGCAGTGCCCGTCAAGCAGTGACCTACAAAGCCAGCCTCCAGGTCCCAGCACCAGCAGTAGTTCATGAACCGAACAAAACATGCCCTCAGGAAGTCCCCCAGCAGGATGGTGATGTACGTAACCAGCATGTCGGACACGGTCAGCCTCATGAATTCCTACCAGAAAGAGCAAGGAAAAGAGAGTGGTCAGTCTCTGACCTTGTCCACATCTCCCAACCGCCTGCACGCACGAAACATCCTCATCCACTCGAATTCTCTGTGATCCTCTGATTCCCGGTGGCAGAGTGGGTGTGCAGAGAGAGCCCTAATGCAGCTTGGAAAATGCTGCATTAGGTCCTAACTGTACAAGTCACTGATTGTCGGCCTTGGAATCATCACTGAACCTGTTGAAACCTCTGATGTTGTTAACTCTGCAGGGAGGCTTAATGCTCATGTATGCAAATTGCCCGGAACATTGGACAACAGTGCTGGGTCATCGGGAATGCTGCTCCAGTCTCGGACCTGGGCTCACCTTTGTCTCCCACAGCTCCCCAAAGGCCAGCTGCCTAGCTAGGGCCATCATCATTAGGGGCAGCAGTTGGCTTTCTTTATCTTCTGCGACTTGATTTATTTTTCTTGGTGTGTAGAGAAAATAAACAGCATTTTCACTGAGGTATACAGCACAAGAGCCCAAAGGAAAACTTTCTCTGCTTTGTAGAGTATCCCTTATTTCTTCATTTTTCCTGAAAAACTGAAAAGACCTGCCAGACACCGCAACCTTTAAGGCAGCTCATAGACTTGGAGCTCCCAGAGGACACAGAGATTGCTTTGTGCATTTTTCTAGCCTCCAAGATGATTAATAACTGTTTGCTGGATGAGCGGCCGGCAAGTTCTCAGTTATTACTCAGTAAGAATTCATGTCAATGCTCCTGAGCAGTGGACAAACCAACAGCCCTGTACAATGCAGAGCGAGTCTTTTGGATGGTGGGTGGTGCCCAAGGGGGTGAGCAGAGAGCAGGACTGACGCCTCAAACCCAGAAAGAAATAAGCTTTCACCAGTGGTCGGGGCAGCGATGGGCACTCAGGGAGGAAGGTGAGAGAAATGCCTGCCAAGGACTCAGAGGTGGGCAACGAGGACTTCCCAGCAAAATGCACCAAGAGCCCCAGGGCGCCTGACTCTCTTCTGCCAGGTGAAGAGGGTGGGTTTCAGGTGAAGAGGGTGGGTTTCATGCCTTAAGGACTCTGTTATGCACCGTGAAGGGTTTAGAAATGCGGGGAGCCCAACTGCCTTGCACATTAAGTGATGAAGGGTTTAGAAATGCGGGAGCTGGGGGAGCCCAACTGCCTTGCACATTAAGTGAAGGAGGATTGAAGAGCATGGAAGAATCAGGATTGGGAGGGTCGAGCCCTCCACGAAGGAAGTGACACGAGAACCCCAGGACCCTCCTCTGTGTACTCGTCTTCCCCAAGTAAAAACACCGGGTCTAATGCTGTGGGTGAGTGGGTGCTTCAGGGAGCCCTCGTAAGCAGAGCGCCTTGGGGTTGCAGCTGAGTCAAACCCTATGCGAAGAGGTGGGGTGGGGAAGAGAGGGCAGCGGCCAGCTGCTGTGCTGCCGAGACCACGGCCTGCGAGTGTCTGCCTAGCGCAGCAGCGGGCAGGCACCGAGCCACGCTGCGGAACTGCAGAAGTGGCAGCGACCGTGGGTGGGGGAGGTGGTAGTTTCCTTTTTGAGATTCTAATGAAAACTACTCATTAACTTTCTTAAAATGTACACAGATGCATATACCTGCAAAATCCTGCACCCCATTTTCAGGAATGCTCACTCATGATTTCCAGTGAAATCTGCAGTAAAACTCTACACCAAGTGGTAGTAGGCTGATATATGCTAGACAGGGCACAGAGAGACATGAGTGGGGCACTGGACTTTCTAAGAAATTTTAGTGTGACATCGTGGCAGTTGAAAAATGAAAACATCCAACTGAGCTGAAAAAATGCACAAAATGATGTAAAAATAAGCTATTATTTATCTTAAAAAAATGAAAACATCTAGGAAGGAATAATAAAGAGCTGAGAACAGGGATCACCTTTTCAGCTGAGAACAGGGGACGGGAATTACTCACAATGCCCACGGCTGTCTCCCAGCAAGAGCCCCGGGGCACATCCGCAGGGTGCAGGGGTGGCCGGGGGACACTCTCGTTCCAACCCGAGGAGTTGTAATAGTTGAACAGAGTCCAGTGAGTGATGTTTCTTATGGTCTCTTCATTAGACAGCTGGAATGGAAGCCGGAGATGTGGGGGTGGAAGGAGCAGTTACAGAGCAGAAGCCACCCCCTAACCCCCAGCTTCTGCCCGACCCTGCGACAGAGCCTGTCCAGAAAGCCTTCCTCCGTCAGTCTGTCTGGGAGAGAGCTGGGGCAAAGAGCAGAAGCCCATGGTCGTGTCCGAAAAGTTAATTCTATAACTTATCCTCCTTTCTTTCTTCCCTCCCTTCCTCTCCCTCCCTCCCTTCTCCTCTCCCCGTCTCCTATCATCCTTTCTTCTCTTGAGATTCTTTATTCAGGATCTATTCTGGGGTTGTAAATGACGGTGATACTGAAAAAGAGATGGAGCTTCCCTCAGAAAGCTCACAGTCTAGTAAGTGACAAAAGTGAACAGACAGATAATTCCAGATCAGAATGTTAACTGCTGTGGGGCCTTTTCCCTGGGAACCTGAGAATAGCCGCATCACACGGGTGGGGGCCACAGGTGTTCCTGGAGGCAGTGACCCAAGCCAAATGCTCAGGGAGGGTGTGTCACCTGGTTAAACCTGGGGAGAGGGTGGAGGGAGAGGCAAGAGGGCATTTTGCTTCTTGGAGAAAATGTGAGGCTCAGGAGGTTGGAACAGGGCGCTGGAGTAGGAGGGAAGACAAAGAGGAAGGTTGGTGGGGTGGGCAAGAGCCAGCTCCAGTCACCTGCATACTTAGAACCTCTGGTAGCTTCCTGTGAACCTCAAAAGTCTATGCCGCTCACTTAAGGTGGGGGGCGGGGAAGAGGGGCATCGTGCAGAGGTCCGTCCCAGGCTCACGGGTCACTTCCCCTGCGATGGGTCAGCCCTCCAGCTGCTCCGTTTGTAGCAGCTGTTCCCTTTGCTTTCTCCACGGTCTGCTAAGACTTTGCAGGGGGTCCTGGAGCCCCGCCTAGGCGCCTCCTGCTGCCCTGGGTTGCCCCATCTAGGCACACAAGTCTTTCCCCCTGCCCACAGCACGAGTATCCTGGGAACATGACTGTGTCTTGCTCTCTGCTGCATGCCAGCGCCACCCATTGTGAGAACTCATAACCATCCTACATGGGACGAAAGGTTAAGTCAGCCATGACATACAGTGCCTCAGTGGACACTTCCTCAGCTGGCACATATTCACGGCAGCTATGAAACCACACAGGAAAGGATGCAGGTAAAATATGAAGGGTCCCAGCGACAGGTACGTGATATGAAAAAAGACAAGAAAAACAAAGAATGGTAGCAAAATGTTAACAATGGCTGACTTGGGCATAGGGTTCTGGGGGATTTGTTTTTCGCTTCCTTTTTCTGAACTTTCTAAAATTTATTTAATGAAAAAGAATTATGCCCAAGGAGATGGCTATGTTTTAAAAAGGCTCTATGGTGAACACCAGCGGCTGGGGTGGATGGGGAGGGGGTTGTGGTCTTTACCTTGAGGTGGACATCATCCATCAGGGCCAAGAGAAATGTGTAGAGGTTTCCCAGAAAGAGTGCAAAGATGCGTCCCAGCTGCCACTTGAGTCCAATGCGTGGGTGATAATTCTCCAGGGCAGCAATGGTTTCAAACAAAGGGGGACAAAACATCCCAAGCAGGGACATCACAATTTCTACCTGAGAAATCAGGAAAGCCCGGTTACTTGTGTGATCACTATCATTTCCTTGGCCACCACGTCTGCACCCCTAGGGCCACGCATCTTCTTGGTGTCCCCTCCTCTGCCACTTGCTGTGACCCTGGGTAAGAGGACAGCACACCCTGAACAGCCAGCGTGTGCCCTCCACCCCAGCTGCTCTGCAAATGGTTGCTGTCATGGTATTGATGCTGTGAGTGTTGATAAAGAACTGCGAACATCTCTGAGAAGTGCATGAGTTAACACCTGGGGCAGTGCTTCTTATTCTGTAGAGTTGGGAGCTAGGTAAGCGTCCCCACGATAATCCCATCTCAGGAGCATGGTGGCTGGGCAACTCAGATCACAGATAGGCACAAACAGGAGAGGGACACAGTGACCACTGTGGCATTTGGAATGGGCGTTCTGCGTTGGAGATCCAGCTCCATCACTCAAAGGCTTTGTCACTAACAACTTCTCTGAGCTTCATTTCTTCACATGCAAAATCGTGTTGTGAGAGTCAGAAGAGAGAATGGACTAGTCCAGAGTATGGCTGTAAACATCTAATCCTGTCTCCAATTTTGGGAGACTCCTGCCTTGTGTAATAACCTGACCACAGTAGACATAGTCTCTGCAGCTGAAGTGGCTTGCCCGGTGGAGAGTAAATTCTTGAACGACTGACCAAACTGAAAATGGTCAGCACTTCTAGACTGGTCCTGACTCTCTCTGCCTCTCACTCTGGCTTCAGCCCATCAGCCTGGCTTCTCATTACCTTCATACCCGCTCACATAGTTCTTCCCACCTCACTGCACCACTTCCCCATTGCCCTTCTTTACATGCTTGTCTAATACTCAGACTAACGCCTGCCTTTGCCACAAAATCCTTGTCTCTCTAACTCATGTGGACAGTTCCACCTGCAACACATTGCAGCTGAAAGCATTTCACCTGAGCATGTTATTGCTGCAGGTTGCTGTTTTGCTTTGTTTCATTCTCGGCAAGTCTGCTGCAAGGAAACTGCACCCTGCCTAAGGGCAGAGTCTACCTTGGGCATCTTTTGTATCCTGCTTATAATTTACTGACCTGATGTTGCAGGCTTATTCATTGTAAATTGCATTTGCACTTTAATATATTTATATTTATTGTAATAAGTGATCTACTTAGATTTAAATCTCTCTACTTTTGTGCTTTATATTTGTCCTACCAGTTCCACATTTCTTTTGCTATCCTTTCTTGCTTTGCAGGAGGAGACAGATTCTTTCTTATTATTTAGCTCATGATTCTGTAGTTCAGTATTTTTTTTAAAAGATTTTATTATTTATGCAGACAGAACTGGGGTATAGCCCAGAGGTGTGGGAAGGATTCACCAGAGACAGCAGGGAGCAGAACAGGCAGAATGACTAAAATACACTGCTGAGGGGAGCAGCAGACTAGAAAGGAGAGGTCTGCCGCACTATGTGGGTCACTTCCTGGCTGGGAATCGAACTCATGCTGCAGTGGCTGCAGACAGCTTCATAGTGCTGTATTTTTAACCCTTTGGGCCACCAGGGAGGCCCTGGGTCAATGTTTTTATCTGGGCTTAGCTTGGTGGGTCTTTTATAGCCTTACTTGAATTCATTCACTTATCTGTGGTCAGCAGATGGTTAACGGCTTCATTCACAAGCTTATTAGCTATCACCTAAAGGATGAGCTAAATGGGCCATGAGTCTCTCATCATTCAGAAGCAGGCTAGTCTGGGATTGTTCTCATGGAGGTCTCAGGGTTCCCAAGAACAAAGTTCTATACACAAGCAACTTTCAAGTTCCCTTGCAGCACAGTTATTAGCCCTCTGGCAAAGCAAGTCATATGGCCAAAGCCAGCTGGATTCTAGGCATGGGAAGCAGATCCCACATCTTATATGCAAAGAAATGTGCATATAAGTGTGGGAATGATTTGTAGCCATTTTAGCAAACTACCACAGATGTCAACTTCCCAGAAGAGATTTATGGCTCCAATATAATTACAATAAAACCTTAATGAGTTTTATTGTGCATCTCAATGAGAGAAGTAATAGACATCAAGATATACTATGAAGACACAGTATACCTCAGTGTGTTGTTAGTGCAGGAGTAGACAGACAGACCAATGGAACAGAAGAAAGTCCAGAATCACATCCATGAATTCATAGACCCTGGATTTACAATGTATGGCACTGTGCAGCCACAAGAAAAAAATTACCATTTTAATAAGGGAAAGGATAACTGGTTATTCTGTTGGCTTATATGCTAATTAGACCCCGCTTTATCAAATTCTAAAAGCCCATTAACAGGTGACTCTTTGTTCAAGATGTTCATGCCACTTAGCTGGAGAGGGATGGACTTTCACTTTCTAACATCAGTCTTCTAATCCAGACTTTCAGTAATTCAGCTGAATGGCACAGGGACCAGTGTGATGGAAGTTTTTGCCCAAAAAATTCACTTCAGCAGAGGATGCTGTGCTTACCTCATTCCTTTCATACCAGCTGACGTTCTGCCTTTTGGAGAACTCCTGGGATCGCTTCACGACAAAGTAAATGAGGTACCCACTTCCACACAAGCAGCAAATGATGAGAAAGTTGGCCAGAACACGGAGAAACCTTGTCAGATGGATATTTTCTTCTTTGTTACTCTCTTGCTCATCCACTATAGATTCCTTGGTGTGTGAAAATGAGATGTGAATAATGACAGGCCAAGTACCCACAGGAGCTTCCCTGCCAGAGCCCGAGGCGACTTTCTAAGTTTCCGTAGATGAAATAATGCAGAGGAAATGAGGAGAGCGGTGCTGCCCCTATGGAGAATTCCTTCTTTTCTTTAAGAAAGTCTGTTTTTTGTTATTGTTATTTTAGCACATGGAAAAATAAACGCTGAGACTTAATCGAATGCTTACTGTGTGCCAGATGCGGCGCTAAGCACGGCCACGGGTTAGCTCTCTTATTCCCAAAGCAAACCAGTCGAGTAACTGCTATTATTTCCTACATCACAGGTGCTAAGTAAGGCCCAGGGAGATTTCAGTATTGTCTGACTAGGATGGTTTTAAATCTAGAAATCAAACAGATTAAAATTGAACCATAACAGAAGCGAGTCTTCTCATCCAAGGGCTGGCAAACTTTTTCTACAAAAATATCAGATAGTGTGTATTTTTGTCTTTGTAGGCCATGCACAATGGTCTTTGTCTTTGAGCCATTGTAGCAAGAAAGCAACCGCAGACAATATGTAAATAAGTATAAGTGGCTTTCGTTCAACATAATCTTATTTACAAATGTAAGCAAGAGGCTTGAATATGGACGGTGGGCTGTAGTTCTAATCCATGAACATGGACTAGCTCTCCATTTATTCTGGGTTTCTCAATGTCTTTCAACATTGTTGTGTGTTTTTGGTGTAACTGTTTTGTACTTTTTGGGGGTGGGGGTGGGTAAATTTTCTCCTAGGAATGTCAAGTAGTTTATGTAGTTTTATTATGAATGGAATTAAAATTACTTTCTTCCTTTTTTTTTTAAGGTTTATTTATTTATGCATACAGAACTGTGGTACAGACCAGAGGTGCAGGGGTGGTGAGAGGCTTCACCAAAGACAGAGTGGGGAGCAGAACAGGCAGATCATTGAAGTACACTGCTGAGAGGAGCTGCGGGCAGGTCAGGAGAGGTCTGCCACGCCATCTGGTCACCTCCTGGGCAGGCGGGGATCGAACTCATGCTGTAGTAGCTTTAGTTTCTTAGTGCTGTGCTTTAACCCGCTGCGCCACCAGGGAGGGCCTAAAATTACTTTCTAATTTGCTGCAGCTTATAAAAATGTAGCTAATTTTCATTATAATTTCTGTCTTCTGCATCAGTAATTCTCTATGAAAACTAAGTAGCATATGGCAGAGGCAGGATGAAAAGTGAGGTCTCCCAGACAGCCGTAGCACCTTGAACGAGACTGAATACAGTGGCACCTTCAGGTTCTGGTCCAGCTAACGCAACCAGCAGTTAACCCTGACAAATGCACCCAGTTCTTACAACATGTGTCTGCTGTGTAAGGGGACTGTCTGTTTTGAACAGCTTCAGAGGAGCTGTTTCTCCTTCCCAGATGTTCAAAGTACTTCCTAGGCACTGGCTTTCTTTGTCTCTTTCTGGGCCTGCAGAAACAGCCGAAGTCTCCACTGACACCTCCACTTTGCCCTTGGATGCTGTGCCCTTGCTGTGAGGAGGGTGTGTGGGGGGGAGAGGATGGAGTCAGCTTCCTGTTCACCCACTGCCCTCCAACTGCATGGGGGTTCATGCACCCAGGGGTTCATGCAGCCCAGGGAGAGCTGCTGAGGCCAAGTCGTGTTCCTGGGAGGGGGGTGCTCCCCCCCCCCCGCAGGCCTCATCAGTGGGCAGCAGCCCACTTCTCCAGGAAGGACCTGGGGAGGGGAGATGATGGAAGACATGACAGCAAGCACAGCTGGGTTACTCTCTGACCTCTGATTCTAGGCCAGAGTCGAGAGGAAACAAAATCTGGTTTCTTAGACAGGAGAAACACTGAACTTTAAGAACTTTGGATAGTTTTTACAGTCATGGAGGAAAGAATCCGACTTGTAATGCTGCTCTGTTGTAGCAGCATTACCTGCTTTCCCTCCAGTTATTTGTCCTCCACAGACCACCTCTTTGGTGAACAGATGAGTATGTGCTCACTTAATTGATTCCTCCATTCCCTCAAAATGGGATCCTCAGCCCTTTCTGGGTATTCAAATCACTGAGAGCACTTCAAACCAAACCAAACCAAACCAATGCCTGGACCCTACCCAGACCAATTATGCCAGAACCCGTGGGTCTAGGATCTGGAAGATTTTGGAAGTTCCTCAGGTGATTCAAACATACAGAGACAACTGAGAATTGCTGTTGCAGATGAGTCCTATCACTTCCTGCTGCAGGAAACAATTCTACAGGGATGCAGGCGGGGCCTGGCCTGGCATCCCTGGCTCTCTACACTTCAAGAAACAGATGGGGGTTGGGGGGCAGCCCATGAGTATTCTTCCCAGAGGCTTGAGAGCCAGGTTCCCGCTTCTGGTAAAGCTCTTGCTGGGAGAATGCCTCATGACCTCCCAATGACCAGAGGGGCCCCAACTCTCCCCGTGAAGTAGGAACTGCCCTGGGGTGGCTACCTTGAAGCTGGTGGTGATAGAGGCGTATTTATTGTCTGCCGTCTCCGAGTTCCCAATCAGGTAGTCCCAGCTGGTGAACATCTTGAAGCTGAATGTGAAGTTATCATTCTCCCCTTCGCTCGTGGTGCCCTGGGTGTTGCTGGCCATCCTGCAGGGCACACAGGGCAGTCATGTCTGCCCAGATTCTGCCGCGGCAGCCCCCCAAGCCTGGTCTGAGCCGGTCTTGGGCATAGATCTCAGACACTCAGTGAGGGGCAGGAGCCAACAGGGATGGGGGCTAAGACAGATCTGAGTTGGATGACTGACAGTCAGAGCGCTGTCCACCCAGATTCTCCTGGTGCAGCTGGGCACTAAGGAGCCTGCAGGACACAGGACACTTGACCATGCTGTCCTCTCTAACCAGACTTCCTGTGGCTTGATTCACCTGTAAATGTCCAATAAGCCCTGAGGCCCGTGGTACCACCACCAGGTAACATCCTTTTTTAAAGTGGCCTGGTTGGGAGCACCACGGGCCTGCGCTGAGGTACGGCAGCCCATCCACCACTCTCCAAGCTCTCTCTGTGTGCAGTCCTGTGGGGGTCAGAACTCCAAGCTCTACCAGATACCTGGTCGAATGGGGGGCGGGAGTTTGTGCCTCTCTGACTCTTATGGTTTTTGGGCTTTGCTGTTCCAGGCACTTAGCTGGCGTAGGTTAGCTGTTTGGCAGCTAACCTTCGGGGAAATGTTCACATCCCTACATTTGTCTGGCATAAAGTCTAACAGTATGAAGGCTAGTGGGTCCTGGTGGTCTGGTTCATGCCCCCAGTGGATGGCAGGCTCCTGACTTAGAAGAAGGCGATGTATGGGCTGGGCCAGATTTTTTCTTTTCTTCTCTCTTTTTAACAGGAGGAGGGGAGTGCACTGGACTATGGTGATGGCACATGGGTGATTGGGTGATGGGAAGCCCACGGGGATTACAACTGAGATGGAAAAGGGCACACAGTGATATAAAAATAAACTATTATAATAAAAAATTCTTTTTTCTTTGATATTGGGTCAGTTTTTTTTTTCCTTCAGAGAACACGAGTGAAGAAACATAGCCATAGTAAAGGCCATTTCTGATCACAGAGACAGTGTTGGGACCAGAGAGGACAGCTAATCATAGCCACCTACATTGACTTCAGCTTATTGTTTGTATATTGACAAGTGCCAGGCTCAGTTTTCCACACAAGCTGAAGTTAGAGAGAAGCAGAAGAGCTTTCTTGAGCAAGATGAGCTCTGGAGAAAGCAGAAACAGGCCTTGCAAACTTCTCCAGTCCTGCAGTACCTGGCCCCACCTAAGTCACGGGGAAAGCAGAAACAGGCCTTGTAAACTTCTCCAGTCCTGCAGTACCTGGCCCCACCTAAGTCACGGGGAAAGCAGAAACAGGCCTTGTAAACTTCTCCAGTCCTGCAGTACCTGGCCCCACCTAAGTCACGGGGAAAGCAGAAACAGGCCTTGCAAACTTCTCCAGTCCTGCAGTACCTGGCCCCACCTAAGTCACAGGGACCTTCTGTTGGCCAATACTCACGAGCGTATCTGCTGCCCCAGGGCCCTTGCACATGCTTTGCCTTTGTCTAAAATGTTGTGCCCAAGATTTTTAGTATGGCTGGCAGAGCTCAGCCTCATCAAAAGGGGTTTCTATTCATTTCCCATACTTTACCATATTAGCCTGTTTACATCTCTTATACCACATAATACAACCCACATTTGCCATGTTTCCTTCCTTTCTTTCTAAATCATTCTACCCCACTCCCAGGAAGATAAGCAGGCACACAGTGGCCCTGGGAAGAGAGGAAAAAGCCTGTAACTCAGACAGTGATACTTACGATCTAATGACAATCATCAGGCTGTAGCCGAACACGCTGACCCCCACCATGAAGTAGGCCATGGGCAACCTGTATCTCAGCCACCCGATGGCCCGCTGGTTGTTATAGTAGCCATAGAAGAGAGCAGAATACTTGATGTAGCCCTGCAGACAGCAAATCCAAAGGTTCTGGGTTTTTAAGGTCAGCACAAACATCAGACACTCATCCTACCAGGGTTTCCTTCTCGGGGCTTTAGTGGCAGTCTGGGGGAGGAGAGGAAGGATGTTCTTCTTCTTCTGTTTATGTCCCGCATAATAGATCTCCCTGTCTCCCCCTCTGTCTCTCTAGTTTTCCATTATACTGTGCATAGGGATTTAGGGATATATATTCCATTATACTGTGCAGAGGAGAATGTTGTTAACACTCAAGATAAAATGTGGGGTGAGAAGCGTGTGGGCGCCTGCAGGCACTCGCACCTAGGGCTCCAAATTCTTCTGGATATGGGATGATGGAATCGAGCAAGAGGGGATGCACAGGAGGAGTTCCAGGTTGGACAGGTACTGAACCTGAGGGCCAGGTAGGACATTTTGTTGACGATGAAAAAATAGGGAAAGTCTAGAGGGCAATAGTTTTAGGGGATTATGGTGGATGTGGGGGAAGAAAACCATCTGGGGAGACCACTTTATGCAGAGCTGGCAGAATGAGGGGGACCGAAGCCTTATGGGGAGACCTTATCCTTCAGAGTGTGTGGCTGGAGAGGGATCACACCCAGCCAGGATCCCAGGACAACTACTGAGGGCAAGGCCAGCTAGCTCATTTTGCAGAGGTCTCCGATCCTATTGGATCAAAGCACTGTTTTTTTTTTTTTTTCATTGTTAAATGAGACCACTCACACCTATCTGTGCAATCTTTAGGCCTCATAATCATGACATGGAAGCAGCTGGCATGCTGGCATGGTACCTCAAAATCCCAAAGGACAGAAAAATCCATGGCTTTCTCTTCCTCTGCCCGAGGCACTGTCTTTCTGGGGATACTTCCGTAGGGCACGCCCATCAGGACCTGGCGAGGGCACAGAGATGCGCAATGTCACATGAGAAAATACAAGCACAGGGCCTTCCCTGGTGGTGCAATGGGTTAACGCACAGCACTATGAAGCCAGCCTCAGCTGCTGGAGCACAAGTCCAATCCCCAGCCAGGGAGCTGACCCACATGGCACATCAGACCTCTCCTGTCCTGCCCACTGTTTCCCTCAGCAGTGTACTTCGGCAATCTGTCTGTTCTGCTCCCCACTCTCTCTGTAAATCCTCTCACCACCTCCCTCCACCTCTACAGCAAAATTTTAGCAATGTCTCATAGGTTTTCAGTCCTTAAATATGCCTTCTTCTCATGGAAATAAATCTATTTGGAATCAAAAACTCCCAGGGAGACAGCAAAGAGCTCTGTGAAGGTGAATTTCCCAGTGGCTACAGGGGAAAATGTATACTTCCTTAACGATGGAGGGAAGAAATGAAACTTGCAGTTAGCTTCTGACAATATTTTCCCCTTGAGGAGAAACAGACTTGGTACAAGAATGTTTGTGTACACTTTTTAAAAAGAAAGTTTTAAAATTCTTATCTCTGGGTCCCAGAGTAATAATGCCTTAAGAATTTCTGCCAGATTAAATGGACCCATAACTCTTGATTTCCAGGCTTACATAGAAAGGAGCATAAAGTCTAGTTAATGACCTATTTATAAGTACTCTTCTTAGGTAATGCAGAAAAGAATTCAACAGCTTAATAACTAACACAACCCTCCTTTGCTACAAATGCTATCTAATACACCATTGATTTCTTCAACTAATCTGATTTAATTCACATTCTATAGAAGTCTCTCAATTTCCTGAAAGGTGGATGTGCAGAAAATTTCTCAAGGATGTCACTATAGGTGGATTCCAATATGCTCCCAGGTCCATTTATAATACCATGGAATTAGTAAGCTATCACAGAACCAAGTAATGAAAGCAAATGGAGGTAACGAGGCACATCGTTCCCTTAGAAGATGTTGAAGTAAATCCTCTGGGCACTAAACACTGGTACCACATAGCGCAGGGCAGGGCTGTGGCAATTACTGTGCTCAGAGCCTAGTGAGCCAAGGTGCCTGGCCAATCCCATATCAACACTGCAGACCTGGGCTCTCAGACGTCACGAATATCCTGGGTAACTCTGCATTCATTGCTTATTCCTTCTTAGCTCTCAATATACTCAGCTACAGTTAAGATGATATCCATTACCCAGAATAAGATTCTATCTGGGACAGTAATGAAGAGTGCTATTCAAATGCAAGGTTTCTTGGGGGGTAATAATTATGTCATAAAGCTTTCTGTCTCATTCTACCCCCCACAAGGGGCAAAGAACAAAAGCACACTGAGATAATTAATTCTCCACTGATCTTAAAGAAAATGAATGGTAGAAAAATCTGGGATTCACTTCTTGATTCAGAGACGCAAGGATTGTGGCTCTATTCTTTATGCTGAACTACCTGGGCATTGATGTAAGTATAGAATTTTTTTTTAAAGATTTATTTATTTATGTTTATAGAATTGGGGCACAGGCCAGAGGTGCGGGGGTGAGGGATTCATCAGAGACGGAGTGGTGAGCAGAATAGGCAGATCAGTGAAACACACTGCTTGAGGGGAGCAGCGGGCGAGTCAGGAGAGTTCTGCCATGCCATGTGGGTCACCTCCCTGGCTGGGGATCAAATTCGTGTCACAGTGGCTGAGGAAAGCTTCAAAGTGCTGCGCTTCAACCCCTTGAGCCACCAGGGAGGGCCCTACGTAAGTATAGAATTTTAAAGGAGCAATTGCTTCACTGTATTTGACAAAGATAAATTAAGACGGGGGTCATCATAAACCTCAACACTATTAAAAAATACAGGAGGCTCTTTTCTTACCTCTGGGATTATGACCAGACCAAATATTAGGCCAAAAAGGACAAGGTTAACTCCGTACATCCACCGGAGAAAGATGAAATATGAAGCCACCGAAGAACCAAAGTGACCTGCAGGGAGGAGACGGTGGATTCAAGTGACTTATGCATGGGACAGATTCAATTTTCACATCGGCTGGTGGAACAGACGCCCTGGTGCCCATTTTCTCTTTTCAGATAAACAACTTAAATCTCCGTGGCAGTGCCTGACAGCTGGGGATCCCACAGTCAGAATCTGAGGAAGCTCAATATTGGTCTGACCAGCCAAAAGTCTAGATTATCTTTTTTCTGCTAAAGAACCCATGCAATAAACTTGTCTATTGGTCAAGAACACTATGCATGTCCTTGGAAAACTTGAGTAAACCAAATAAAGATAATGACAAAAATACTTACTTTCAATGTCCTTGATCTTCATTTCCCAGGGAATACACTGAGTCTTGAAATTATCAAAATCTCTCTTAAATTTGACCCATTTCTGAAATTAAACAAATAATACCTTCAGTTCATTAACATACTGCTTTGGGGTCTGGTGGGGCACACTGAGAGCATGTGATGTTGACGCATCAACATGTGGTCGACCTGTGGGTGTGGCTGCCATCTTGGGGTCTTTTAACCCAGACAGCCACAGTTGACGTCCACGTCTCCATTTTCCAAAGACAGGTGTGAAATGAAAGAAAAGCCAAGGTAACATAGTACCTTGCATTTGGCTACAGTGTTGTTGAAATTTCAGATGAGGACAGTTTAAATAATAATTTAGAAATTTGGTGTATAATTAGGGCCAGGGGTGTCAAATTGGGACAGCAACTTCTGATATGACTTACTTTATCAGAATCCAAAAATTTAAGGGCAAAAGAAGTCTCACAATTCTCACAGCCATATTCTATAGACAGCTAAGTGCCTGAATCCGACTAGAATTGGTGCTAAACTCTGATGCTGGTGAACTGGCCAGGAGGCCTTAATCCTTGGCTTCCTACTCCGCTCCTGTTTTTTTGGAATTAGGATTTTTTCGACATTAGGAAGGCATTCTGCTTTTCCCCACAGAAGATTCCCCATTCTAGCACTCAGAGTTTGTACCAGTCAGCCTGAGTGGCCGTCTGGCTGCTGTGTGGAAATCCGTCAGCTCTTTGAAGGACTGTTTGCCAGTGGCTCCACCTTCTGGAAGTAAATCCATGTGGAATTGAAATAAAAAAAAGGCACAGAGGCAACACCGAGACATCCTAAGATCCGTTTTTATTATTACAAAGGTCTTGTAAGAACTTGTTCATGAAGGAAATGAGATTTTCCCTTGTAAAATCACTAGGGGATCGAAGGGAAACAATACATGAAAAGAATCAAATGTGACTCCAGACCTGAAGCACTGATCCTATCTGGAGCAGGAAATTACTATTTAAGGCAGGAAACCACCTGGCAGAAGAGGGGGCGAGTCACAGATGCAGGGAAGAGGGAACTGGAAGCAAAAACGTTAGGTGACAGTTATGGCAACTATCCCCGGGACAGGGGGAGGGGGGGCGGGTGGCCATGGCAGCTGCTGGACGCTGGACATTCCAGTCCCATGACCGCAGCTACCTTTCACAGTTCTGATTCTCATGTTTGACTAATATGGCCTAAGATGTAGCCCTGTTTATAAGGAAAGCAGTTACCTATCACCTGGACAATGACAATTTTGGTTTTAGTAGTAGCGATTTTTCATTTCAAATTTATGGATTGGAATAGGGTTTATGGCTCAGTTTCCACTGCAAGTAATTTACTGTCAGAAAAACAGAAGGATTGTGGATATAGACTTCAAACTTTCCTCTTTTTGCATAAGTTACTTCTTATAAATTAATAATTGAGCATGGTTTTATATGTCAGTTTCATAAGCTTTATTAATGTGAGCCCTCCTCCAGAGAGATGACTCTCCTGATGGACTGCTGATAAAATCAGTACGGAATAGAGGCTTGCATGACTAAGGGCCGCAGGGGTAATGAGTGTTGCTAAGTGAGGCCTTTGGAGACAGAGCCTGCCAATTGGTTGCTTGGCAACCACTCAACATCTCTTCCAGGCTGTGGGCACCTGGACAATGATGCTGCCGGAGGTGGGGGCAGGAGCCGAGAGGCCTGGGCGAAGCTCTGCACTGAAGTTCTTATCCCTGGACTCACAGACTCAGAATGCTGGCTGGAGTGTGTGTGGTCAGAAGACCTCCCTTAGAGCTGTGTCATGTAGCTGTTGATCCGGGACTGAACTATCTGATTAAAAAAAGGTCTGTCTCTTGCTTCAGTTATTTATAGAAAAAACCACATTTCAACCAGTAGCCTAATGAAACATAGGCAAACTACACCTCTGTCTGTGGATGAGAACTGCATCTGAATGACTAAGCACAAACAGTGAGGCCTTTGACATAGTGCCACTCTTGGAAACCTTTGGACAGCATTTCCTCTGGGATATATTAATTCTGGGTACTGGTTTAGTGCTTTTTTTTTTTTTTAAGCAGTGTTTTTTTTTTTTTTTTTAAAGATTTATTTATACAAGGGGTATAGGCCAGAAGTGTGTGGGGTGAGGATTCACTAGACATTGAGTGGGAAGTAGAACAGATGGATCTACTGAAATCCACTGCTGAGGGAAGCAGCAGGCAGACAGCAGAGGTCTGCTGTGTCTTGTGGGTCACCTCCCTGGCTGGGGATGGAACTCATGCTGCAGAAGCTGACGATAGCTTGATAGCACTGAGACTTTAACTCCTGCACCACCAAGGAGGCCCCACTTTAGCAGTGTTCTTCATAGGATATAGAAAATTAGGCTTCTATTGTAAAGAATAAGAAGGTGGAGTTTAAAAAAATCTAGGTGAAATACAGAAGGATGGCAAGACAGTTAAAAGTCCAGTAGTAGGATGAAAATAAGTGTTACACATAATAAAGACTATTAATGAAACAAGAAATTGATTCAATGCTATTGAGAATAAATGTGAGAATGCAAAGAGAGAGAAAACAAAGAAATAAAAACGAGGGAAAGTAAATACAGAGGACAGAGAATAGGCAACCAATCTTTTCCTATAGAAGAAGCTAGAACTATCTGACCAAACACATGTGTGAACAGAATCATTTATCAAGATATATTTGAAGAGCACATAGTGGGAGAAAAAAAGCTCTGAGCATACATTTGTTAGGTAATAAATAGTTTCTAGGTAAAATTAACAAAATGACCCATAGGTAGTCAAGCAATTACAAACAATAAAAGGTGATAAAATAAAATTAGGAACAGGAGATTCATGTGCAACATATATGGAAAGGAATTATTAAAGTGGCACCACCACATGCAGCTTTTTGGTAAGCCATCTGAAAATCTAATTGAAATGATCAAGCTGTGGGAAGAATGTGAAATGCCAGAATGGTCCCAAGAAATACTTCAAATGCGGATATATGATAAATAGGGAAAACATAAAAAATTATCAAGGTAGTCTACAAAAATGGTGCTTGACCTACAAAGTTTTAAGGGTGTCCTCTTTCAAATGTCCCCAAATTAATAATTGTTCTTTATAAGCTGATATATAGCAACAAAGAGGAGCTAATCCTTTTAACAACGGAAGTGAGCACAACCCTAGCATTAAAATCTGCTGAGTGCTATAGCACGGGGCACAAGCACACACTGAATCCAAAGCTGTCCTGAAAGCCATGAATGAAATTTTGTAAAACCAAATGTGCCTATGGGACTAGGAATAATGCATCGTGACTGAGGTTACCCCAGAAATAAAAGGGAACTTAAAAGCAAGAAAGGATAAGTGTTTGATAAAAATCAAATATCTATTTCCAATAAAATGGAAGTCTGCGGAAGGACAATTTCTTGTTTTGAGAAAGAAAATCTATTTCAAGTCAACAACTCCCATCAACTTAATGTGAAATACTAGTTATTTTCAAGAAAGAGACACGAGATCACCGCTCAACTGAAACCGTTCTAGAATTGTTAACCCACACTTGAGAATAAGATGAGAGATCACATTTAGAAGAAGCCAACAAAATTTCTTTATATATGTACCCAGATGAAATGACTAGCATAAATAAGAGAATGCCAAAAAGGAAGCAGATAAAAATGAATACACAAATCTGTAGCTTACCAACAATAATTAGTTATTAAATAAATGGGGAAATGATCCCATTTACAAAAAAGCAACAAAAACATAAGTACTGCAGAAAGAAACGTAAGGCACAGAAAAAGGGAAAAAGGTCTATGTGAAGAAAATGACAAATTTTGCGCAAGGTTGTAAAATAAGACTTGAGAAATGGATAGTATTAGTAGAATAGCATAAAGATAAATGTTCCCAAGTTAAACAAGGACTGAAGCCATCCCAAACAAAATCCCTATTTGAGGTCCTGAAACTTAACTAAGTGATTTTAAAAAGGTGCGTGGGAACACAGACAAAGCTAGCCAACATGGTTTTGAAAAACAATGGCAAAATAGGAAATCTGCGCTAGAGACATGGGAGAGTGAATTCAAATAAAAGTTCCCAAACAGGCCCAATATAAGAATTAAGTGACTGAAAAGAATGGTTTTCAACTTAGTAGGTAAAGGACAAACACTTTAGAAAGTCCCATAATGAATCAGTCATAGCACATCCCAGTTGCATGCAAAGCTGCCCCTCCTCAGGTGACTGCTGCCTGTCCCCTGTGAGACCCTGATCACATCATAGCACTCTGGCTTTCCAGTGACTCAGTGTGTCCTGATTTATGCTTGGAAGAAAAAGACTCGAGTGGTTTCAACATCATCAATTCTGTGACTTTCGTTCTTTCTGATGAGGAAACAAATGTCAAGTACATTGAAGACCTCCCAGTGAGTGAGTGAAACGGGCAGGATACAGTCGACTTCCATTCCTGGATGAATGGTCAGTCAGGCCTCAGGCTCAGAATTCTGGACTAGGGCACCGAGGGGAGGCCGGCAGGTGCCTGCAGAGGCCTCGCAGGCCGACAGCCCAGCAAGCCCTCCCCAGGCCAGCGGCCTCCGCAACGCACCTTGGCCATCAGCATCCTGTAGGCGTAGAGCCGCTTGCCTTTCCCCTTTCCCAAAGCTCCTTCGTACTTCTCCACAAATTCTTGGGCCTCCCTGGTTAGGAAAAAACAACACCAACAGCAAGAACCACAAAGGGCAGTAATTTAATTAACCTCTAAACAAAAGATCTGAACTATGGGGTTTATAGGTGACCAAAAACCTTCAGTGTTTCATGCCCTTAGTTAGAATATCAAGTCCACAAAGGCAGGGCCTTCTGCCTCTCTTATTGCTTAATACATAGTGGGTATCTGCAGGCAGAATTTTGCTCCCCATGACCTTTGCCCCTGCGATAAACCCCTGAATGGCAAAAGGGATTTTTGAAGATGTAATTAAAACCCCTGACTTTACAGCAGGGAGATTATCTCGGATTATTATTATCCTGGAGAGGCACAATGCAACCCATAAGCCCTTAAAAACAGAAGAAGACAGAAGAGAGAGACATGGACAGGAAAGTCAGAGAAATTTGAAGCTCGAGATTTCTCAACCCTCTAAAGGGGCCCCCTTTGGAGAATGCCCCATGGAAAGCAAGAAAAGGAAATGACTTCTGCTCAATCTGGAAGAGGACCTGGAACCCCAGGGGGCACCACAGCTCTGCAGATACCTGGTAAGACCTTGAGAAGAGAACCCAGCCATGCCAGGCAGGACTTCTGACCCATATAAACATGAACTATGAAAAGAATGTTGCTTTGACTTTTGAGAATATGGTCATTTGTTACGGCAGTGATAGAGTGAATCCAGCATTCAGAAGGGGTTTGCAGAGTGCATGGATGTTGAATGGATGTTGAGTGAGTGAGTGTACATCTGGGGAAGGCTTGATGAAAAACACATGGATCAGTTAGTCTAGTACCTATTGTGCGGGAAGGTGCTAGAGCCTGTGAGAACTGGCTCCTAAGAACGTTGCCAAATAACTGGTAAACTCTGGCAGCTTGAAATGGGTCATGGTGGAAGTATCTAGAACATGACATCAGCAAATGCTATGAACCGGAATATCTAAAAGACCCAGCCCAGCAAAGAGAGGGGATAGTGCGTTGGAGTTTGGAGAGGCAGGGGTCAGGGGCTATGCGAACTTCCCTGCAGAGGGGACAGTTGGGAACGAGCCTTAAACAAGGTGTGGCCTTAGCCAGGTGGGCCAGCAGGTAGCAAAGAACATCTAGGCAGAAGCACAGGCTAGAGAGAAGGCTGGAGAGCCACAGAGGCTGGAGAGCCACAGAGTTGATTCTGGGCTAAGAAGTCTTGGGAGAGGGAAGAGGAAAGAGGTTGGACTGAGGGAAGAAAACACTGACCACTGTGTGCCCAGAAGACCGACTTGCTCCAGGGACAGAGACAGGAGTCTTTCCAGCTCCCAGGCCTTCCACTTCCCACCCCATGTGAAGCCCTCAAGCTTGGAAAAGATGTCTGACTTCTCTGGGCAGCTTAATGGCTTTTGGGCATGTTTAAGGTCTCTGAGGCCTCCCCATTTCCATAAGCCTCAAGGACGATTTCTCCCCATTGTTACTAACAGATGTGTTGGGGATACCTGAGAGGGGGGGTGAGGTTCTGTTAGTGACTGATGGATGTTCTGTGCCTGGCGGAGCAGGAGCCCAGCTCTGGGGGAGCTGGGAAAGAGACTGAGAAAAAGAAGGCTGGGAGAGGAGTCATTCAACTGCCTCCCTGGCCAACTGCAGCCACTAGCCAGAGGGAATTCCCCTCTGGGGTCCCACTGGAGGAAGGAGAGGCCCCAACCCCAAGCTGTCCAGCCACAGGCCAGCCAATGAGAACATGGTGTAACCCAGCCAATGAAAAGCCTCCAACTTCTAATGCCCAGCTCCCTCCAATGGACTCTTGGATTATAACAACCCCCTAAAATCTATATAAGACTGTTTCTTTTGTTCTGGGAAGTAGGCTCTGTTTATCGTGAGAATGAGACCCCAGGGTTCAGAATTGCTTTTGTTGTTTCTGAATAAATGTGTCCTACTGGTGAAACAACTGGCTGATTGCTTATTTGTTTAAGGTCAGCAAGTCTGACCTGATGAGGGGTTTGAGGAGAGGAAGAGGGTGATGTTGGATGGGAATTGTGCAGTAGAAAACCAGAAGTTAAGCAGTGTGCTTCCAGCCCTTGTTTCAAAACAGCAGCTCACTCAAGAATCATGAAATGCTGGGCGAGCCAGCCTTCTGCAGGAAAGCCAGAGAATGGACTGAGCGGCCAGCGGGAGTCAGTGGCCTGGTTTGGGTCTCCTCATTCACAGAACAGTATTCGCGGGGTGCCACTGCAAGCTTAGTGGGGACACCAGGGTAGCTGAGGCAGACCCACTCAGCCCTCCACTCTTCAGGTGTGAGTGTGCTGCACGCAGAGAAATCCTGGTGCTTAAAGAACGCGAGTTCTGAACTTAGTGAGGTGTGTGGGGAGGGGGCTTGGGTGTGGTAGCGCACCTGTAAAGGCTGTGAGCGGGTACAGAAGAGCCAGAGGGGGTGGGATGCAGATGCAGGTGGGGCAGCAAGGGGGTGGAAGGGTGTAGATCTGAGTGCCAGGTCCTCAGTCTGACCCCTGGCCTTGCTTGGTGCGGTCAGTAGCAGGCCCTTGGTCAACTGTCACTTCTTACTCACTCACGTCTGTTTTGGTTTTCATAGCTCCCAGCGTTGTGGGGGCCAAAGCAGAGGGCGAATCCCCTTTGCTGTCAAGTCCCACAGGCAAAGAGAAGGAAAAGGCTCAGGTGCCCACCAGAAGAAGCTGAGTCCTGGTTGACCACTGCCTCTCACCTGAGTTCCCTAAGCTTCTTGGCCATGGGCCAAGCCTTACTCCGCATGGTGGCAATGAGCTTTTTCTTGTCTTCCACCTGCTCCAGGATCTGGGCCAGCTCCTCCTCAGACAGAGACTCCCCACCAGAGGCGCTGGAGGCCAAGGAGGACGACCTGGAGGCAGAGACAGAAGGAGCAGAGAGTGGATGGGAAGAGAGTGCCCTCAGTTCTCTGTGAAATGCAGAGATGCCCATCAGCAAGACAAGTGGCTGCACTGTCCTGATGCTCCTGACAGCCCCACAGGCCTGCTCCTGCTTAGAATCCCTCGCAGACTCCGGTCTCCTCAGAGGGGGCCACAGCTTTGTCCGGTAGCCCAGACTGCTGCTCTCCAAACTCCATTTCTCTCCACCAGAGGCGCTGGAGGCCAAGCTCCACACTTGATTCTATTGCAGCCTAACAGAAATGTAACATGAGGCATGTACTGTACTTCAAAATGTTCTAGGAGCCACAAAGTGGTAGTGAGGGGGAGGCAGGGGGACGGGAACCTGGGCTGGGGGGCTTCTGTGCTGCTTTCTTAGCAAGTTTCATAGAAGCAAATAGCAGGGTGTGGGCTTGAGTTACCCCAGGCATTAGAGACCAGTCTGCAGCAGCTTCCATGAGTTTTAGCTTGTAGGGAGCAAAGGAGGAGTTAAGATGGAGGGGGAGAGGCAGAGGCCCAGGCCCTTGAATGCTGGGAAAACCTAGAGCACAGGAATTTTTTGCCATGACTCAGATACACACACACACACATACACACACACACACACCATGATATTTGCTTTTGAGTCTTTGCATAGGGGTGTTCCCTGAATCTGGGGGACAGTCAGTCATTATTTGGTCAGGCTCTACCTGTTTTTCAAAACCTTATTGAAATGCTGACCTTTGCTGTGGAGGAACCCTGATGCCCCAGCACCCGACCAATACAGAACTTGCTCACACCCTTTGTCATGCACGGTTGCTTTCTGCCTTGCCTTTTGATAACTGATGACCCTGCTCTTTCTGCCAAGGCAGACTGTCAGCACCTGGTGGACATATGAGCCATCTCCATCTCTCTGCGCCCCGTCATGGCACTCAGCACAAGCCATTTTCTCAGTAGCACGAGTAAGCCCTTGTTGCTACCCTGGACTTTGCCTCTGCCATCTGTGGCCCACTTAGGATGGTGCCACCTCGTTTAAAGTTCAGGCCACTCCAGGACCCACCAATGACATTTAAGTTCTTTTTCAGTCACAAAGGGCACTGTTCATCCTTTATCCTGTCGGTGTATGTCCAGGGACAGCCAGAGAGTGGACATAAGTCCTAAGGAGGTGGCTGGCATGGGGATAGAATAAATCAGTGGACCATTTGAGGGCCTTACTCTCCTCTCTGTAAAGGCAGAAACACCCAAAGAAGGACTGAGCAAAGAAGGCTTGTTAGACCTAGTGGGAAATACCAGCAACTTCCCCATAATCTTGACACCTCCAGCTGATTCCAAAGCCCACCCCCTCCCATTATGGAAGGGGACTCTTAGAACACCCTAAGATGGGAGTAAAGCAGAAAAGGGAAGCAGAGAGAATGCGACGTCTCATCCAAATCAGTAACAAAACAAATTAAAATCCCGACTTGCTGACTCCCTAAGCTGACTCTGTCCACTGACCCACGTGTGCAAGCGCTTTTCGGTCCCAGGGGGCAATCCAACCTCCGAGCCCTTAGAGAAGCTCTAACCTCCGAGAAGTTAGAGCTGGTAGGATCTCTGAAAGTTTTCCTAGATCAATGCCACGTTTCAAAGAGAAGGACACAGGGCCAGGTTTCAAAACGGCAGACGTGAGCCCTGCTAGACATCCAGATCCAGTGTTGCTCAAGTCTCTCAGCTTCTCCGCCAGAGCTGTGGTGAAGCACCAGCTGGAATTCAGGAGACCTGGAATTTTGGCCGGCCTGCCGCCAAGCAAGGCCTCCCTCGGCGCTTGCAGCCGCACCGGTGAGACAGGAGGCGCTGGAGCTGAGGGGCTCCCGGGCTCCTGCCCTGCCATGGCCACGGTCCTCTTCCCTGCCCTGCCATGGCCACGGTCTTCTTCCCTGCCCTGCTCCACATGCCCAAGCATGGGCACTGGCAAAGCAAGGAAGAACAGGCAGGAGGAGAGAGCAGGGGCGGCCTGCACAAGGGAGGAGACCTGGGCCCTCCTCCGGGGAGGGAGGGCGGGGACTGGGAAGGGGAAGGACTTAGGCCGGAAAGACTCCAGAACTCAGGTCACAACACACCTGTGTTTCTTCAGTTGCTTCCACAGCTCCTCCTTGCTCGGCACCTCTTTATTCTTCTTTGGAGGTGCTCTCTGGTCTTTGAAGGAAGCCCTCCCATCCTGCTTCCTCCTCCCCTCGAGGGGGCTCCGTCGTCCCTGTTTCCCTGGCTCCTCCCGTCGCCTTCTACTGTGCTCTGTCTGTTTCCTCCTGGGGGACCCGGGCCGTGGGCTGCCCCTGGCCTGCTCTTTCTGGTCATGCTGGGCCCTGTGTCTGCCCCTCGCGCCGTGGGCTTTGGGTGCCCGCTTCTTAGAGGGTGACTTTCCAGACCCGTCACCTGTGGAGACATGAAAAGGCACTTCCGGCCTCACTTCCTCCACCCCCCACTGTGAGAAATAGAAGTCCAAGATGCTCCCTTGGAGCGTTGGCTTCTCACCTTGTTGGGAGCCTGAGTCTGGGATGAGAATGAAAGCGCCCTCCTCCCCACTGCCCTCTGCCTAACGCTCAGTCCCATTGGATGAGTGTAGCTTATGAATAAGGGAAATGAAGGGGGTTGCTAAAGTATGGGAATGAAAAATTGGGAATGCTTTGTTATAAAACGGCTGCAGTGCCCTGGGAGGGGAATGGCGGTATTTGAAAGCAGACTCAGATTAGTTGTAAATGAATATAGCAAACTCTAGTGCAACCACTGAAAAGGAAGTAGGGAGAGAAGTATATTCAGTATGTTAACACAGGAGAGAAGCTGGAATCCCATAAAATTTCAGCCAAAACCACAAAAGGCAGAAAGAGAATATAAAAGTATCACATATGATAAATACTAATCCAATTACATGGATAATCATCTTAAAGATGAGTAATCAAAATACATCAATTTAAGATGGAGAGCGTCAAAGTAGATACAAAGATGAGCCAACTCTGTTATTTACAAGACATAGACTAACTATAAAGCCATATCTATATTAAATGTAAAGAAAAGGAGAGACACATACCTCATTCACAAAAGAAAGTGAGACAATTGTTAATTTCGGACAAAGCTGCCCAGGGATAAAGCAGGGTAGGGCGTAATGTGAAGGAGATCAACCCCCCAAGAAAACAGAGCGAACCGTACTGTGTGAGTCTAACCACAGAGCACGAAAATATGGGAGGGAGAAACCAATGGACCAGCAAGGAGACAGAGATACTGCAGGTGGAGACTCTAATACTTCAGCATCAGCAGTGGGCAACTCCAGAAACCGTAAGGCTAGTGGGACTAAACCTCACCGTTAGCCAGCTGTACCTTAGGGATACTGATAGCACAGTTCATCCAGTGGTATGGAATCTATATTCTTTTTGAGCTCATGTGGAACATTCACCAAGATACGCCACATTCTGGCTCATAAAATATGTTAACAGATTCAAAAGAATAGAAATCACACAAAATATGCTCTTAGACCACCATGAAATTATTATTACTTTGTATGTGTAGAACTGGGATGTAGGCCTGAGGTGTGGGAGGTGAGAGGATTCACCAGAGACAGAGTGGGGAGCAGAACAGGCAGATGGACTGAAGTGCACTGCTGAGGGGAGCAGCAGATGGGTGAGGAGAGGTCTGTGGAGCCATGTGGGTCAGCTCCCTGGCTGGGGGTTGAAATCAGGCCTTAGCAGTGATAGACCTGAGAGTTAACCCCTAGGCCACCAGGGAGGCCCCGATCACTATGAAATTAAACTGGCAACGTATAACAGAAAGATCCCTGTAAAAAGGAAGGATATGGGCCCTCCCTGGTGGTGGGACGCAGCACTGCAAACTAGCCGTAGTGGCTTCAGTATGAGTTTGATCCCTGGTCCTGGAGGTGACCCACATGGCCCAGCAGACCTCTTCTGTCACACCCTCTGCTCCCCTCAGCACTGTACTTTGTCGATCTGCCTGTTCTGCTCCCCACTCTGTCCCTGGTGAATCCTCTCACCACCCCTGCGCCAGTGGCATGTACCCCAGTTCTGTATGCACAAATAAATAAAATCATTTTTAAAAAAGCAGAATATTTGGAGACAAAAGAACTTACTTTTCTCTAATAGGGCAAAGAAGTCTCAAGAGAAATTAAAAAATACTTCGAGTGAAAACAAAATATAAAATTTGCAGGATGCAGTAAAATGGTGTTCTACCTTAGGAAACCAGAAAAGAAGATCAAATTAAGTCTACAGGAAGCAGAAGAAAAGAAATAATATAATGATGAGTGCAGAACTGGAATTGAAAAAGGAAAACAGTGAGAAAATGTGAAACCAAAATTGGGCCTTTGAAAAGATCAATAATGCTATTTCAAGTTTTGTTGAAACTATAGATTACCTAACTATATCATTTTGGGGTATATCTTCACCCCCCCCATATAGGCACATATTTCGCTCATCTACTACCAACTGGCAAACCCACAACCCTACTCCCCTCCTCAAGATCAGAAATATTGATAAACCCCCAAGGGAAGGAGTGTGAGAGAGTGTGTGGCCCCAGGCTGGGTCCCTCGGAGAGCCCCGGGACTGAGCCTGGTTCTGAGAGAGAGGGCTGAGGAGCGGAGGGTGCAAGGGAAGAGACTCCTCCTAACTCAGCTCCATATTTCCTGAAAGGGTTGGTTAAGAAAGTCAATGTGGGGCCCTCCCTGGTGGCGCAGCGGGTTAAAGCACAGCACTGAGAAGCTAAAGCCACTTCCGCATGAGTTTGATTCCCGCCTGCCCTGGAGGTGACCACATGGCGTGGCAGACCTCTCCTGACCCACCTGCTGCTCCCCTCAGCAGTGTACTTCATCAGTCGGCCTGTTCTGCTCCCCACTCTGTCTCTGGTGAAGCCTCTCGCCGCCCCTCAGCC